CCCCCATGCATAGAACTTTGCATTTGAAGGCCAAAGAGGAATGGATTTGGAGTTTACAAAAATTCTTTTTCAAGTATTTTAGAACGTATCTTGTCAAGTAGCATCACTACTACCACACCGTTCCTATGTTTCTGGGTCTAACTGCTGCTATGAAGAAGCTCCATTAGGGGAGTTTGGTTTGTCCCTCCTGAGTATGAAGATTGCATTCTGACATTTACATGAATTTCACCCCCCAGCGTTAAATAGCAATAAAGGGAAAAAAAAAAAGCACAAGTGATGAAAGTGGATCATCACTTTATATCTTTTTATAGCATCAATTTATATCTTTATAAAAGCATCGTTTGGCCTCATTAAATGCTATGGTTAAGAGAATGTGACATGATACATTTGGGGGAGTCATGACCTTGTGTGTTCATTGTTTTGAACTTTTCATTCCATCCAAACATGACAACCTTTTTCCCTGTTTTAATCCCCTGGAGATTGATTTTTACTTCTTGGACAGTTTTGTATCAACTTTGTTTTCTTATCTCTCTCTTTGGTATCTACACTAGTTTGAAACAAAGGCACACTGAACAAGGGGAGAATTTGAACCCCAAATTTCAGAAACTTATTTCTACATGTTTGACTTTCAGTTCTAGTATTAAACCTCCATCCCCCAACCCCGCCTTTGCGCCTGTGATGACATTTTTAGAGAACATCAGTTTAACAGTTCAACCTTATGGAGTGTGGCCTGTTGGGTTTTCCCTAAGTTTGCTAAAGCCTTACGTTCGTATTTGTGGGAGTCCTACAGCACAGCCTGCCTATCACGGTGTAATCGGATCTCTTTAATAAAACTTGGCAGAGAGAAAACCTTTTAAGCAGTGATCTCAGAGTGTGCAGTGAACATTTACTACCTAATTCTCGGAACCCCACTCTGAGCGAGGAAGCATCTATCAAGATGCAGATTCATTTTAAGATCCCATCTGGAGCTTCGGCTAGGGTAATCTTCAGTTTGTGTGATAGTGGCAGCGGGAATACCTTGAAGTGCCACTTCTTGAAACAACATAGAGTCCTAGGTTCGCTGTGCCTAAAGTGGGAGCAGACCCTCTCTGGTAAATGTTATGGGGGTGGGGGGTAAGCAAATAATCTAGAAGTGTGCACCTCGTTTGTCTTAATCTGGGAGTGTAAAGATCCAGGGGGTGGAGGGCAAGGATTTGATTTGGCCATTTACTGAGCCTTACTGTGAGGAGGGGGCTTCGTCCTTGTTAGTTTTGATTCTTACGAAGTGCCCTTGCTGGGGATAATGTAAGGCGGCTTCACGGGGTGCTATATATACATACAGGCTGAGCAAGAGTTCGGTGCGGAAGAGGTCTTCCGCGCAGCTGTTGGCTCTCGGATTCAGCCCGGCGCCGCTTCAGCGGAGGTCTCGGGAGAGGCGCAGAAGGAACTACTCCCTAACCTCAGAGTTCCTTTCAGAAAAAGGTTTCCCGATTGCTCCAGCCTGAGCTTGCAAGTTTGGCTTTGCTCCGCCTTCTCTCCGAGTCCCCGGAGGCTCCAGGCTCGCCCCAGCCGCCTGGGCCGGCGGCCTGATGGCGAGACAGTGGCTCCCTGGGCGCTGGAGGGCTCCGAAGGTGGCAGGACCGGCTCGTCAGAGGTCCATTAAGCCGAAGCTTGGCGCTCCGAGGCCGGCTGGGCGACCCCGCCTCGCTCCCCGGGTCGTGTACGGCTGGAGGTTGGGGACGTGCGGTCTGGCCCGGCCGCCGGCCCTGCGCTTCCCTCCCTCTGCTTCCCGCGATCGCGACCTTCCGGGTTTCCGCAGCCGTGCGGCTCCCCGCCCCAGCACCCCCCACCCCGGCGCCTGTGCCCGTGGGGTGCGGGTCCCCGCGATCTGGAGGGCGCTCTCCGCTCGTCCCACCCAGGCAGCACCCGAAGAAACGAGCGGCTCTACGGTTTCCTTTCCGTTTATCACCGCTCGCGAAACCAACAAAGAGTTTTCTTTCCACCTTAACCTTGCACACAATCCTTTAACAAATTAATTAATCCTAATGAATTAACACTTCATTTATTTAAACGCGCTACAGTCCATGAATTAAATTTTCATGCAGTGATTAAAGGCTGTTAAAATATGCATGATTTCGTTAAAATTTTATAATAAATCAGGGCAATGTGTTACATGACAAGGCAACTATTTCCCAGCCCGTCGCAAGGGGCTTTGATTTGTGCAGGCGGCGCGGAGGGCGGAGGGGCGGCGCCGGCGAGCTGGGGAGCCCGCACAGGACCCGGCTCCGCGCTCACTCGGCGCTGGGGCTCCGGCTGCTCGCGCTCCTCCGCCGGGGCCCTCCTGGGGACCCCACTCCTGCACGCAGAGCTGAGCCCGCGAGCCTCGGTCCTCCGGCTGCACTCTTGGGCCCGGGAGCCCCCTGCTGTCCGCAACCTGGGCGCCCCCTCCCACCCGGCGGCCGCGCGGGTCCAGCAGCCGGCGGCTCTCCTGGGAAGGGGCACGCGACAGAAGTTCATCTCATCGAGTGGGGAATGGGCGGGCGCGTGTGTCTGTAGTACAGTTTGGTTTCTTCGTGGGTGTTTTAAACCCCAGGACCTTGAGCGCCCCCCCACCCCAATTCGAGCAGTTCTGCAGCTCGGATGGGACGGGCGGGGCTCCTCGGGCCTCGCTGCCCCTCCAGGGACCTGAACGCAAGTGGTCAGGCCGAGACGTCCAGCGCTGGCCTCGCTG